AACCCAGAAGACAGAAATCTTCATACTCTGATGACGGAGGCAGTATGACCTCTGAAACGTTGGTAAACATCGACCAGACTACATGGCGCAACAACCCAGAAGACAGAAAACTTCAGACTCGCCGCTGTGAAAACCTCAAATCTTACGTATCGGTAGTTCTCTCACGAAAAGTGCCAATTCTGAAAGTACCATGTAATGACGGAGAAGGTGGATACAGCCCTCATCCTAATGTTTGTAATCCTGATTGAGTAGCGATATTAGGTGTGATGCAGTTAGCAGACTGCCCGCGGTGTTATTGCGAGGACGTTTGTCAAAATGCAAACATTTCTTACCAGTTTTAATTGCATTTGTTACGTATTGTTTAATGTCATAAAAAATTACTATAAACAAAATCCAACATCCTTACTGAGACACGGAACCTGGATTATTTTCGGGAATATTCCTGCAATTTCCTCGCCGATAAAAGTTTTGTTGTTTGCACCTGTTGTGGAAAGTTTCAGGGCTGCAGAAACTCTTTGTCAGGACAGATCTTTGGCGTTATGGTTCGTGTTTTTATAATCTCATCTTGGAAGCAAGCAACTTTCGTCCGAATCCTTTGCTGCAGAAACCATCTTCACTACAAGTGGAATCCGTCGTCGTGGCCTTTGATTTGATAATCTTCTCTTTCAAAATTTCTTCGTTACAAATAACTTGTAAAGCATCACGTACTTTCTAGTGGACAAGCCAATTTTCCTGTCAGGGAAATAGTTAAGCACACCTCATCATCCTTCTTCCTTTGTTCGTGGTTGGCGTGTGCCTCACGGATCAATGTGTATCAACGCTTACCCCGAGGTACCGTTCTCTTTCGGCCCACAGTACTGGCTCTTCGAGAAACAGGGTTGTTGGGCTGACTCATCCAAGAAGATAGGCCACTTGCAACATCGTGATGTGTTTGGTTTTAAAGGTCAAACTGCTCTCTGTTGCTTGTCAAAGGACGCCCGCCTCTGAAAGTATCCAACATCCCTTCTACGTCCATGGCTCTGTCCTGGCCACACTATTTTTAGCCTCTGTTGACTCCGTCGCTGTCGTCTGATCCTCAACTTCGCCATTGGACCGGCCATAATTCTCCATTCCATGATCGGTTCCCACATCTGAAACCAATTTTTCGTGCTCTGTGTCAAAGTTAGCTGATGCCGGGAACCCCTTAGTTATGAAACTTTGAAAGCACTTGTACTTACCAAGGGCTGACTGAGGTCACCCAAGGATAGCCGTCGGAGACTGACAGCCCAGGGTGTCCGTAGAAAGTTGTGTGATTCCCCTCCCTCAAGTAGCAGAGACCATCAGCCAAAGCTATTCTCGTCTCTTCTGGGTTAATATCCCAAACAGAATATTTTTTTCATAAAAGACGAGTTGCCTGAAGGGATTATCTCCAACAGTAGCAATAGCCCCTAGTTTGAAAAGTCGAGGTTTTCCTCCAGGACAAAATTTCCGTTAGCTTAGGCACACCCGTTACGATTTTAAAGTTCTGTTTACAATTTTTCTTACGCAGAAATGGTGTAATATAGCAAGACTCCGCACCCAGTTAGGTAACAAAAAGTGTATAAATACAAACCTAAAGCCAAATTTTGGAAAGGCCGCCCACAAAAACGTTGGAATGACCAATTTTAACTGCAGAGTACTCTATCCTATTTACACGAACAGAAAATTCCTTTGAAAGGGAACAGTCTATAATATAATGGAAATGATGATGATAAAGTAACATGTTGTCGGTGTAGTGACTGGCTACGGACTAGAGTCCCCCCGGGGGTACGCGAAGACATCTTAGGGGGTACGTGAATTTAAAAAAAATATGTATTATTTTATGATAAACACTGAATAATCATTAATGTAATTTATTTAATTTATTTTATATGTAGATTATATACTACGTATAACTTGAATTATACACCAACAACTTTGGGGGGTACAAAGTTGAAGAGAAATTATATCTGGGGGTACGCGAAGACATCTTAGAGGGTACGTGAAATTTAAAAAAAATGTTATTTTATGATAAACACTGAATAATCAGTAATGTAATTTATTTAATTTATTTTAGATGTAGATTATATACTACGTATAACTTGAATTATACACCAACAACTTTGGGGGTACAAAATTGGAGAGAAATTATATCTGGGGGTACGCGAACAAAAAAGGTTGAATACCACTGGACTAGACGACTGGGGTTCGATCCCGGGTGAGGGCAGAGGATTTTTCCTCTAGCCTCTGCGTCCAGACCGGTTGTGGGGCCCACCCAGCGTCGTATCCAATGGGTACCGGGGGTCCTTTCCCGGGGGTTAAACGCGGCCGGGGCGTGACGCTGACCACTCACCCCCATCCAGTGCCGAGGTTAAGAAAAAGCGACTATGTAGCGTATAGTGGGACAACTTTATTTTTTTTAAACGTGTTTAGACGAAGTTATGTTATCACGGACTTTTATTCTATAACAAATAAATTTGTATGAACGCAAGAGCTCATCGTGTCCGTCTGTCCACACGGTTCAACTCCAGAAACCCTGGAAGGATTTCGATTACCTCTTGTATAGACGTTATGTCATTGGCTGGTGTCCTGAAATCGTGGTTTACAATTTCCTAAAAATCGGTAATACCAACTTGGCGGGCCTCGGAACTTGTGAGGTGTGATCGACGCTAGCGCCACTTGCTACACGGGCAATGTAACGAAACTGTTTGAAAGTTATAATTGATTTTGTTTAAAATGGCAACAGTGGCCGCTTTAAAGGAAAAGTGGGACTTTACGAGGATTTGATCCGACGATTCCATGCGTACGAGACCAGTAGAGAGACCTTATTGATTTATGTTACTTAAAGAAGACATCACATTATTTGCACAGCTTTAAGTTAAACTAACCTCAGAAAGATAAATTTGCTAAGAACGCGTGTGTGTATTTCAGTAAGGATATTATTTTTTAGTCTTGTTTCTAAAACAAAAGAAATTTTGCTTCGTTTTGTGGGAGTACGATGTATGGTCCGGAACGTTTATCGTGACGTGTTGATATATTTTTATCTAAGCGTTTTTTTTTTTTAAAAAAAATTCCGTCTTCCTTTTTGTGTTCTTTTAGAAAAAAGTATGTTTAGTGCTTAACGGAAAGCTACGTTGGGTTAAATCTCCTTGTGAAAATCCAGGGTGCTCGAACTCTGCTGTGGAAATCACCGGGAATAGCGAACTTAAGAGCTAAACTAAGCTCCAGAGTGTAGCCGTACTGAGATAAAGCCTTATTTCTTTTATTTAGTCCGTGGGTGGCCAAGCCCAGGGCCAGGGCCTGGGGGTCTATCCCATAATTGTGGGAAATACCGTCGGTCATGTGATTTCCCAGTTGATTAAACCAAATTTAACTGTCGTCTCTGGATTTCCTCTCTTGAGGGAGAAAGGCTTTCAAACTTCGGTCTGATATTAACGAAATTTCGAATTACCCTCATGGCACTGTAGAATTCTTTGGTTATATCGGGCAGATTAACTTATCTGTACTCTCCTAATAAATTTTTCCAAAAGAATAAGCTCTTAATAAAAATGCATTTTGTGCTCGTATTTATGGTTGAAAGCAATAAAGGTTATGGCTCGAGTGTGATTTTGTTCTGTAATCATCTGTGCTAACTCCCGGCATCTTGCTGTATATTATTTATTTTATTCTTAAAGCTCTGTCGAGATCTTATTGTTAATTAGCGTAATCTGCCCCTTCTACAAGTCGTTTCACTACAGCCGTATTGTTACGAATTGATTAACTTTCGGGTTCCACAATAACTCATAATATTTTTTAATTTTTTTAAATATTACGAAATGAATTATATCTCGGCGCCAGGTGGTGTGCGAATTCTGTGACGAAATATTTGGTTCTGACATGGAATTATCAGAGGTGCAGGATCTTCACATTGGTTCGGCGCGGTGTTTCTTACCGTATTATTGCTCCGTTGTGGTTTCTGTAATCTGTTTCGAGGTTAACGAAAATACGAAGATCGGTAAAGGTCTGGGTTTTATTGCCCCTTGTTCCTGTGTTGCCGTGATCGTGATGGCGAGGTAGGGACCGATCTGCGCATGCCCGTTGCGTCCGATCGAACAGCCGACTGTCTGGGCTCGCTACGCTTCAGATTGGTGGGGGAGAACTCGATGTTACATCAACAGCAGACTATTTCGGATAACAGTGTGACATATTTCGACTCCACAGAATAGAAGTTTATTTTATTATTTGATTTAACCCCCAACGCTTCCATACGTGAACTTCCTGAAATCAAAGTTTAATTCCCCTCCTTAAGAAACATGTTTCTGAAATCAAAAAATACGTACGTAATGCAATGTATGGATCGCATTTATTTCAAGCGCACTCCGATGTGTAGACGTGTCTCAGTAGCGCATGCGCGTTGCGGTAGTATAGAACTGCAGGTTTACTGATGGCCTGTCTTCCTCACATCTAATCTACACCATCAAAATCAACGCCTTTTGACGTGTTAAATAGAAGGGGATGTACCTTTTTGTTCTTATATTGTTATAAACAATGAAAATCCTTTTAATGAATATAAGATTTAGGGTCTCTGTTTATTATTTCAGCCTGTTGTACAAGATGCACCGATTCAAATTCGTAGGAAGCGAAATTATTCTTAATTCTTGATTATTCGGCGTGTTGCCTACTTCCGGTAGTTACTAAGCGTTCTCTTTTCACTCGTCTTGCACGGGAATCCTCTTATTAGGGTTTCGAAGTAGGAAGGCACTGCTCTGTGTGCTAACTTGGTCGCCCTCTACTGGACTGCTGAGCGTCAGTCCTCATCGATTACCCTGTGTTGTCGCTCCTAGAGACTGGTCTCTTCTCAGATTTTTATATGTTTCGGGTATTCTGAGCAAAGCACGGTCATTAAGACGTTGCATGAATCTACAGTGTTAGGTCTCCACATAACCAAGGACTGGTGCTACGAGTGCAGTATCGTTCCTGTAAGGCGCTAGTTCGACTAGGCGGAGGAGGTACAGTCCGCAGACCAGGAGAAAATCCCTGCTAGGAATTCGATATACGCGCATGCGCGAGATTTCGCCGTGAGTGACGATCCATCCTAAAAACATTCGTTCCACAACCACTGAACGAACAACAGACGACAGGCTTTCACGTGTTCTGATGGGTACAGCTTTAAGATTACCTCACAGAGGCACAGCGATTTAATCTAGAATATTATCAGAACACATTAGAGGTGCGCTCACTACACGCTACTCTTAACTGCTTGATGTTTTCAGTCTGTGTAGTAGCCTTAAACTCTGACGTATCACACTTCCCACCAATAGCAGCCCTCTACTCCAGCTGATAAGTAACATTCCCCCCGCACCGCACCAGAAACGACTTCCCCTTGCAGGGATTTTCTCCTGGTCTGTGGACAGTACGTCGTTTACAGAGCCCGCATGCCACATCGTGTGCGTATGGCTGAAACGAAGGGCATTTGGAACGCTCGAAACTTGAAATGATGGTCGATGTCTCTGTACCCTGTACCTTTCTCGCCTGATGCCTTGCCAAACGTGGATCTCGGAGGATCAGGGTCTCATTTATTGTCCTCCAGGCATTTACAAAGCAGGCGGAAGGGTGGGCAATCGCTTCCCTCTCTTAGCCGCAGTCCATAACGACTTCTCACTGCTCAATGACTGCAGTTTGTCTGTCCACTCCTCGTTCCTCCACATGTTCAGCCGAGAGGAGAAATTTTTCACTTCGGTAGTAGATTAGGTCCGACTAGATCGAAGATTGGGCGGGCAAGATGTACGACGCTGTCGAATACTAGATGTATTGCAGTTGCCTTTAGGTGCTAGAGGGCATTACGATCTGTGCCCCGGCCGATAAGAACGCTTTGCCTTCTCCCAGAGTTGGGCAGTTCGTCCACTGGTCCTAGGAGATGTGCCTCTCGGTGGTGGCCTTGACTGTGGGCTTAAGCTTGTTTGGTACGGTAGCCAGCTCTTAAGGAAATTTTGTGTTGTGATTCAAGTTACGACACCATTTCGTGTTCTGTTCTAACTAGTAGATCTTTAGTGCACGGCTCTATGGTACTTTTCGAAAACTGAATAAACTTAACTTTTGTTTCCATTCATGCTTCACGTATATTTGTACAGGATCTTACAAACCAACTTCCTTTCTACACAATTTATTTGTTGTACAACAGATGCATTTTAGTTATCATGGGACAATCCTAATTATTATATTTATACTTGGTTCAGATTATTCCACTAAGATCACTCAAGTGATTAACAACAGTTTAAGACACGCTGTGGTGAAATAGTAAAGCTGAACACATGAAGATTCATCGCCCTGATGATGGAGGCAGTATGACCTCCGAAACGTTGGTTAACCTCGACCAGACTACACAGCGCAACAACCGAGAAGACAGAAATCTTCATACTCTGATGAGGGAGGCAGTATGACCTCCGAAACGTTGGTTAACCTCGACCAGACTACACAGCGCAACAACCGAGAAGACAGAAATCTTCATACTCTGATGAGGGAGGCAGTATGACCTCCGAAACGTTGGTTAACCTCGACCAGACTACACAGCGCAACAACCGAGAAGACAGAAATCTTCATACTCTGATGAGGGAGGCAGTATGACCTCCGAAACGTTGGTTAACCTCGACCAGACTACACAGCGCAACAACCGAGAAGACAGAAATCTTCATACTCTGATGAGGGAGGCAGTATGACCTCCGAAACGTTGGTTAACCTCGACCAGACTACACAGCGCAACAACCGAGAAGACAGAAATCTTCATACTCTGATGAGGGAGGCAGTATGACCTCCGAAACGTTGGTTAACCTCGACCAGACTACACAGCGCAACAACCGAGAAGACAGAAATCTTCATACTCTGATGAGGGAGGCAGTATGACCTCCGAAACGTTGGTTAACCTCGACCAGACTACACAGCGCAACAACCGAGAAGACAGAAATCTTCATACTCTGATGAGGGAGGCAGTATGACCTCCGAAACGTTGGTTAACCTCGACCAGACTACACAGCGCAACAACCGAGAAGACAGAAATCTTCATACTCTGATGAGGGAGGCAGTATGACCTCCGAAACGTTGGTTAACCTCGACCAGACTACACAGCGCAACAACCGAGAAGACAGAAATCTTCATACTCTGATGAGGGAGGCAGTATGACCTCCGAAACGTTGGTTAACCTCGACCAGACTACACAGCGCAACAACCGAGAAGACAGAAATCTTCATACTCTGATGAGGGAGGCAGTATGACCTCCGAAACGTTGGTTAACCTCGACCAGACTACACAGCGCAACAACCGAGAAGACAGAAATCTTCATACTCTGATGAGGGAGGCAGTATGACCTCCGAAACGTTGGTTAACCTCGACCAGACTACACAGCGCAACAACCGAGAAGACAGAAATCTTCATACTCTGATGAGGGAGGCAGTATGACCTCCGAAACGTTGGTTAACCTCGACCAGACTACACAGCGCAACAACCGAGAAGACAGAAATCTTCATACTCACCGCTGTGAGAACCTCAAATCTTACACAGTCTTTACTTGTTCTGTATCCATCTTCGTCATATTGTTCTATATAATATTGCAGAAAATTGTATTCTCACCGATGCAGAGCATGAAAATGAAGATGATGAAGATGAAGAAGGTAAGTAGCAAGTTTTACATTTTCTTCTGGTCTCTGAACTCTTATTCAGGGAAATGTCAGTTCTGATATCCTGTCACATTCTGAACGCAAGAATAGAGACTGCCGGGCTCACACTGCATTAAAACGTTGAACTTTATGTCACCGGGAGTCTGGCTGCTTCCACCGCTGAAGCAGGGTCTAACACGAATTTCTTGTATATATTTCAGTTATTATTTTTTCTCACAGTGAATAGGAAAAGGATTTCTAAAAAAATAAATACCGAATTTCACCTTTTATTTTGTATCTAACTAACTAACTAACTAACTAGATGGCTTACGGAACCCAAAGGTTCATAACCGAATTAACCAAAGCCCTCCACTGGACCCTGTCCTGGGTCAACAAAATCCAGTCTCCTTCAACCCCTATCTCCCATAGATCCCGCCTGACATTATCCTCCCATCTACGTCTAGGTCTCCCCAG